TGTTTGGCTTCAGGTCCCCAGGAAGCCAGCCAGCTGCCTGACAGACTGAACTTCTGGAGGAACCTGCTTTATTAGACAGGGAATGTAACTGGTAACAAATGGAGGCCCTACTTCACATTTTATGTTTTATATTGTAACTATTAGGATACAGTTATTCAGGACTGCCTGTAAAGGCCTACACTCTTAAGAACTGTATTCTTACCATTTTGCTAATTGCAGGAGTATAAAAGCAAAGAATCAAAATCACAGTCTGTCTGTACATGACACTGAGGCCTTGTTCTTAAGCTAAGACACTTGGCTAAGCAGCAAGGGCCTCCATTAGCTGGGAAACGTACAGTTAGGTCCTGACATATTCCAAACCAGTGACACTGAAACAAGGCAATTTGGGGCAATTAGAAAGGCGATCCAATCTATCACCTTCAGATAAAGGGAAGAGCCTAGAAGATTTAAAGAAAATGTAGGTTGATAGTGCTCAGTCTGGCAAGGACCCACTTATCAATACTTGGGATTGTGAAATCCTCATTTCTTTATTTTTTGTCATTATAGTCCCCATCTCTTTATTGTTTATCTGTATGGCTTCTGTTTGGTTCTTTGATTGTTTCTGTCTGGTTTATAATAAATTGCTGGGTCTGAACCAATGAAGGTGGTGGGATATAAGTGGTTAGATAATCATGTTACAATATGTTAGGAGTGGTTAGCTAAATTTCAGAAGAATGATTGGTTAAAGTATAGCTGAAAATGTTATTATATACATGGAGACAAACAGGAAGGAAGGAGGAACAAGGAAAAAAAGGAAAGGAAACTGGATTCATGCTTGCTGAAAGCTAACTCCAATAAACATTGAATTGTTTACATCTCTGAACTTTGGGTATTGCTATTCTCTGTTCATGCAAGAAGGACCAGAGAAGGGGGAGGATGAAGGGATAAACCCTCTAAGAGTAACCATTTGTTTCCATCTTTCTTTCTCTCTCTCTTATTCCTAGTGGAACCTCTATTCTTTCTGAAATAAACTTTAATTTTTTCATGAGTGAGTGCAGAGAATCTGGGATTTGTGAGTAGCCAGTGTCAAGGACTGAATATCACTGGGCAATGCTTCACAGGGACTCGGGCACTGGGTGTACCTCTTGTTAACCTGTAACACAAAGACAGGGCTGGCACATTCCCAAGGAGTGAGCTTTCATGGCTGGCATGCTAGGTGTGTTGAGGAGCTTGCACAAACATGACTCCCTCATGCTAGGGAGAAAGGGTAACAAGGTGACTCATAGTCTCAGGTACCCCTAGAACTGTCTCACCTTCATTAAAATGAAAATGTTTCTGTTCTTTATACGGTGAGGCTGCACCACAAACAGATATGCAGCTGCCCTGCAAACCCGGCCTTCAAGTGAAGTGTTTGTTGGCAGCTGTAAGGCCAACAGGCAGAACCAAACCTAGGACCTCTGGAGTTTAGCTCATGAGCCTCTATTGCTTGAACTAAAAGCCAGAAGGTTCTCATCCAAGGCGGTAGAGAAAACTCATTCTTTGTGAGGGGTGTAAGTGCCATTACATAGGACAGTGAACTACACCCGGTAGGTGTGGGGGTCACCCAGCCACACCACAGTGGCAGTAATGCAGAAGATTCACTCTTGTCAATGTAGTATGACTTCCAAAGCCAACCTGGGACATCCAGGGCTATCGTTATGAAGGCCCAGGTTCAGCAAGGTGCATACACACATTCCTAACTTAGAGCACACGAGTAATCTAACTGAAGTCAATAAGCCTGAGTCTGATTTAAGGCCATGAAGGTGCCTTAAATTAGGCAAAAATGTATATCCAATGTAAGGCCTCTTTACCCTGCTCTGGCAATGTAATGAGAATCAGACCCAATAGAACAAACCCACACGTTTCAATGATATCCTGAGGTCTCTTCCCACCCTATGATTCTAAGATACTAAGTTTCAAAGTGAACACATGCACGAGAACCTTACTGAACTGAAACCTAAATGTAGGCAACTTTTGGTTTTACCTTTCCTTTATGAGAAGATATTTAAAAAACAAACAAAAACAAACAAACAAAAAAACCAATGGGGCCAACAGCCTCACTGAGCCTTTGGGGTGGGGAGCTGGCTTTGCACTCCTCAAAGAGCTGAGGATGGGACTCCCTTCCCCGTGGCAGCCCTCAGAGCTGCCTGGAGCGCACTGTGCAGGGGCTCCAGCAGTGACTTGAAGGGCCCAGATTCTGGCCACCCCACTGCTGTAAGTAGCAGCAGTGGTGACTGGGAGCCCTGGCCCTTTTGAATCACCAAGCCCTGAGGCAGTTGCCTCCTTCCCCATCAGCAGGCCTGCAAAAATCCTGTTATACCAATGTAGCAATAACATAATTATAATCCCCAGAGTCAGGAAAGGTTACAGTTCCAATTGAATGTATAAATTGATTCCATTGCACATATGTAGTAAGTTCTATCCTGATTTGGCTGGGAATATGTAGCTTACCTTATAAAATGTACAATTCCCTGCACCATCAGCTGGGGTAAATCAACATTGTTTCCTTGCTTTCAATAAAGTAAGGCTGGATTACACCATCTGAGGATCTGGCCCCAAGTGGTGCAATGCAGCCAAGTTAATCCAACTATTGCAGCCTCAGCTGATACAATTCCTAATTTTAACTGTGCACCGCAGCATTGCATTAATGCACCTTTTGCCTCTATATCAACATTCCTTGACTGTTTAATCAGTCCTTTCGCTGAGGAATCATGGTTCCTGAATGTTAAATACATATGCATATTCAACAGAAGATGGCTCTTCAGAGCATAGCTACAGGCTTAAAAAAATAAAAGAGTGGAGAAACCCCAAGCAGCAGAGGTATAGTGAACAAGAGATGCAAATCACAGCCCACTCGCTTTCTCTTTGTCCATTTGGAAATGAATTTTTCCACTTGCATTAGAAATACATCACCAACTACAGAATCCATGGCACATTATTACCTAAAGCTTGAAATAGAAAAAGCTTTTGTGCCCTCATTCTCCATTCTCAGACCGTTCCTGTCACATTACTCACCAAGGAGCTGCACAAAACAGAGGAGGAAAAGCAGACCCTTCATTTTGCAGTCCACTACTAGCACATTCCTTCCCAGCCCTCGAATGATCTTTGGACTAGCCGGGGTCACATGATGCTTTATACACTTGGGAGTCCGGAGGGGAGCACAAGCATTGGGAGAAGACTGGTGAACTATTAAGCTTTAGGATGAACCTCATTTACATGGAGATTTGTCAAGTCTCAGATGCCAGGCTATTGCTAACACCTTCTCAGAGCTCACCAATTTTTTAAGAGCACTGCTTGGTCTTGCCTGGAGTGTGATGTAATAATGAAAGCAGGGGTTGGAGAGTCAGAGCTCCAGTCTCAGCTATGCAATGCTCGTTGTAGGATCTTTGGCAAGTTGTCTTTCCATGCCTCAGTTTCCCCACCTGGACTTGCCCACCTTACTGTGGTTGAAGATTCTTAGATTTACTGTCTGTACAGCACTTTGAAGAGGTAAAGCACAGTACAAGTACTAAGTGCTATTATTGTATGTCATTCTCCACTCCAAAATGCCTCTTGTCTTATAATTCCTAATAGTAGTGTCAATGTGTTTTCAATTAGCGTTCTGGGAAGAAAGCAGCTCACAGACACGGCTTGTAATTGTACTTTGGACCCCAACTGATTTTCTCATTATCTGAACAGTTATGGCTCCTTTTCTATCCCAGCACAGTCTTGGGCAGGCAATTAGGGGTCAAAGGGAGTAACAGGCAGTAATATGAGCAAATGCAGGAAGACAAACGTGTTACCTCACAACAATTTGTCACTCTCCGAATGTCCTTAGAGCACACACAGTTCCAGAGAGGCAGAAGGAGAATTCTGGGCACATTGCCTGCTTCACCTATTCGCCACCTATACTCCCAGGTTTCCACTCACCAGCTACTTCCCAACAGACCTCCACCCACACGGCCTTTGGCTTGAGGACACTCTGCTGCTTAGGGTCAGTGAGTTTGCATCAAGAGAGAGGTATGTGTGGAATTTCAGGAGGGTCTATATATCTAGGTACCTGTGTTAAGGGGGTGCACAAGGAGGCTGGCTCTGTATTGGCTGCTCTGTGTGTCTGCATTGAACTGTTGATATGCATATGACTGTGGGACTGTAGTAGGTTATGGATAGAGGGGTCAAAGGAATGCTTGTCTTAAGAGGAAAAACTATGTAGCACTTTAAAGACTAACAAGATGGTTTAATAGCTTAAGAGGTGTATTGTTTCTAAGATTTCAGTGCTGATTCTCTCTCTCTCTCACACACACACACACACACACACACACACACACGCTCAACCTCATCTCTGCAGAGCTGGGGAGAGGAGAGAGACAAAGGGCAGGACAGTGTTCCCTATCTTAAAGAGATATGGTGTGGCTTCTTTCAGAAACTTACCCAGCAGCAGAGAGCACATGTAACCCACACACCTGGTGTGGTTACTGAGCAATGCAAGTAGTACGTAGACCACAGCAACAGTTAAGATCAAGAGACCTCTACAGCATGGGCTGGGCGCCAGCTGGCTTCTAGCTCAGAGGGTAGAGGCTCCTATACTCCGCTTCAGAGATCCCAGGTTAAAATCTGCCTGGTGTTGGTTACACACACACACTTTGTGTCACTGTCACATACCTACTCTGTGCCACACACAAGTCACTGTCAAACACACACTTCCACACACACTCTCCCAGTCTGTGCCACACAGACTCAAACCGTGTCACATCTATCTCTGACAGAGTCTCTCTCTCTCACACACACACATACACCTTTTCTCTCTCTGTAGCCCCCCAATCCCATCCTTCCACTTGAGGCTCCATCCATTGTGGGGGGGCCAAAGCCGGCCCCGTGACCACATACCAAAATTCATGAAGTGTCCCCCTGTGAAAGTTATGCCCATCCCTGATTTAGACTCACAAGTACGAGGAACATTTCTGAGGACTTCATCTAACTGCTGTGCTCAAACAGCAGCATTCACTGATCCCTATCACAAGCACCCACTCTGGCAGCCCAGGGGATGTGGGCCTGCAGCTTTGACAGCTAAGAGCAGCTAATTAGAGACACCTTCATGCTACACTAGGGTACTACTTCCTGGCAGTTCTGGACAGCATCTCCCTGATCCTTGACAAACCTTTTCCTAGCCACTCAAAAGTGACGCATGACACATGCCTCTTTCCAAGTAAAAACATAGGAAATTGGGGAACAGTGACTGAAAAAATACCCACCAGGATTCATAGCAGATGTAAAGGAGAGGCCTCCTCCCTGGTGCCCCCTTGTGGCCATGGGGCAGCCCTGCAAGTGGCCTTCGTGGGGCCCTGGTAACTAAGGATGTTAAGGAGTGGCTATTCGGCTAATCATGTAGTCGAGCAGTCCCAGTTTGTGGCGGCTGGGGCTGGCTATGGACAAGGGCTGCTGCCAGAGCAGCCTCTGCCCTTGGCCAGCCCAGGCCACTGTGGACAGAGGCTGCTTCGCAGCAGCTGCCCTTATCTAAAGCAGCAGCCCGTCTGCAAGGGGACACAGCTCCCTGCTGGGACCCCCACGCAGACAGGGCTGCTGCTGGAGCAGCCTATGCCCGCAGTGGGCCTCAGCCTGCCATAGGCAGAGGCTGCTTCACAGTAACCTCTCCTACCCCTCCCACCTCTGATAGAGGCAGCAGGAGGCGGGGGAGGTGGCACTATGGATACACTGCTGGGGGGAACCAGCTTTTAAGATGGCTCCGCCCAGCACCAGCTCCTTTTCCCCCCTTGGGGGTGGGAAGCAAGTAGTCAGGTACTTGATTCAACTACCTGATAAGCTTCGCCTTATTGGGTAGTCAAGTACTTGACTACTCTCTTACATCCCTACTAATAACTCCATGCAAGCTTGTCCTCTACTCCTGCAACATAGTGCAAGTCATCCCATAACAAAAGTGCCAAAATATAGCCCAGTAGTCCACAGTGCATAAACATCCTTGTTCTCTCCATACTTTAGTGCAGGGGTGGGCAAATTTTTAGCTTGAGGGCCACATCTTGGTATGGAAATTGTATGGAGGGCCAGGAGTGCTCACAAAATTGGGATTTGGGGTTGAGGCTGGGATTGTGGGGATGGGGGCTCAGGCTGGGTGTGTAGGCTCTGGGGTGGGGCCAGATATGAGGAGTTCAGGGTGGGGGAGGATGTTCTGGGCTGGGATCGAGGGATTCAGAGGGCAGAAGGGGGCTCAGGATTCAGGCAGGGGGTTAGGGCACCAGGGAAGATGAGGATCTGGCTGGGACAAGGGGTAAAGGGTGCAGGAGGGTGCTCTGGACAGGAATCAAATTGTTTAGAGGGTAGGAGGGACGCAGGATTCAGGCAGCACTTACCTGAAGCATCTCATGGAAGCAGTGGCCTGTTCCCACTCTCACTCCTATGCAGAGGTGTGGCCACATGGCTCAATGGTCACAGGCACCACACTTGCAGCTTCCACTGGCCATAGTGCCTGATCAATGGGAGCTGCAGAGCTGGAGCTTGGGGCAGGGGCAGCATGTGGAGCCCTCTGGGTGCCTTCATTACTGGGAGCCATGCAGAGTGAGGCAAAGCAAGCTGCCAACACCTCTATCTGTGGGAGACCGAGCATCAGATTCAGCCCATGGGCCACTGTTTGGCCACACCTGCCTTAGTGTCTTCCATCACAGACAAGTTCCTTGTCTGTCCTATTCTGCCCTCTGTTGGACACCCATCCCAGCCTTCCTTTCTCGGGTGCAACCCTGCCTTTGCAGCGGAAATACCCACAGCTTCTCCATTGGGACTCAGCACTCGCAGCAGCTTTGCCAAAGGGAATACTCACTTCCCCTGGCCCTCTCACTAGCTCTCCAGCAAGTAGAAGTCAACGGGTAAGCCTCCTTCTTCCACCAGCCCTTTCTGTCTCTCAGTTTTAGCCTTTGACTTAGAACCTGCTGACATCTCCCTTTGCCGCCCCTCCTGTCTTCAGCCCTCTCCAGCTCTGGCTCAAAAATTCCAGCCAGCAAACCTCTCTCACCTTAGCCCTCTCCCAGGAGCTACCTTCTGCGTGCAGCAGTTCTCATCTCTTGATTCAGGCCACTCTGACTCCTGATTGAGGTTCTACGGCCCTCTGATGCTGCCCATGCCTCTTATTTGGCCCAGCTGGGAGCACCTAGACTGGAACAGAAATGTGTTAACAGAGTTCTCTTCATCCTAGCAGAGAAAAGTATAATGTGATCCAAAGAAGGTGAAGCTAGACAAATTCAGACCAGAAACTAGGTGCTAATTTCTAACCATGAAAGTGATTAACCATTGAAGTGATTTAACCCTGGGAATTTTAAATCAAGATTGGATATTTTGCTAATAATTCTCCTCTAGTTCAAACTGGAATTAAGCTAAGTAAGTTCTGTGGCCTGCGTTATATAGACGGTCAGACAAGATAATCACAGTGGTCTCTTCTGACCTTGAACTCAATGGATCTAAGGAAGGCAAACAGACCATTTCATCTATTTGTTTCCTGGCCCCTCCCAGTGCTAGAGTGGGGAAAAAGGAACTTCAGAGCTTACATGTCCGTATGATATTCAAGGTTTCTACTTACTTTATCCACACAAGATGACTCCAGACAGAAGGCTTTCTGAGAAAGAATTATAGGCCTGTAGTTCTAATTTCAGTACCCAGTAAATTGGTTGACATTGTAATAAAGTCCAGAACTATCAGACAGATTAACATGATTTGCTGGGGGAAGAGTTAACATGGCTTCTGTAAAGGGAAATCATGCCTACCTATCTACTAGAATTTTCTGAGTATATCAACATGCATGTGGACAAGGGGAATCCAGTGGATACAGTGTACATAGATTTTCAGAAAGCCTTTGACAATGTCCCTTACCAAAAGCTCTTAAGCAAAATAACCTGTAATGGGATAGGAGGGAAAGTACTCACATGGATCAGTAACTGGTTGCAAGATAGGAACCAAGGAGTAGAAATAAATGGTCAGTTTTCAGAACGTTGAGAGAAGCGAGTAGTGTTGCCTTCCCCCCGCAACTCCCCCAGGAGTCTGTATTGGTCCAGTTCTGTTCAACATATTCATAATGATCTGTAAAAAGGATTCGAGATAAATCCAAAGCAGTCTGGGAAGAGT